TATAAATAGAAGAATAGAAAATACGTAATTTTTTTAATAATAAATCAAGTAATCTAAATAGCTCTATAGAACACACATCACAAGGGGTTATATACACAAGTAAAATAAATAAGACTATAATAATAATAATAATAATAATAATAATAATAATAATAATAATAATACATGTTTTAAGCAGCTTCTACACCGCGGGGGAGAATATATCAGAGTAAATAAGAGAGGGTGATCTCTGCAGAGGAGAGACGGAGTCAACCTGCGGAAAATGCATCTGTCCGAAGGTGCATTTGAAACGCATTATGAAAGTGCGCACCTGGCCTACAATACAAATGAAAAATGAAAACTACGATATTAGGCCTGAATCAAAACCATAATGACGTAGTAGCCTATATCGCAGAAATATTTTACCACAGCCTAAACAAACAAGTCATCTTACACAAATACGTGCATTCATCGTTTTACACGTTTTGACAAGTTTACGTTAGTGCGTAAATAGCCCAAATGTCATCAGCTTCTACAAGTTGACGTAATCTGACGTAGTACTGACACAATGTGCATTTGTTGCCTTTTTTACGCTTTCATTTAATATAAATAATGTATTAGGCTAGATGAGAGGTTTAAACTAATTTGTGCGCACTCAATCAGATATTCAGAGGTAAATAAATAATGTGGATATGAATGGCATTTAAACTGCGGATGCTGATTTTACGAGATGATTTTGTGCGACTAAAGGCTTGTGCGTAAAGTAAACAAGTAAACATTCTTCGTGTAAGCTCGTGAGTATGTATATGGGTGGGTGGGTGTAAATCTCTGTGGGATAAACTCGTAAAACACACACAGTAACAAATAAAACCAACTGTTTGGACCAGTTATAGCTGCGATGGCATCTCTTTAAGTCAATATGTTTCTGTATATTTCTATATATTGCCTATAGTGAAATTGTATATTGTAGAGTATTCAAATGTATTTTCTATATATTGTGTATCTTTTTTTTAGATACTCTGTAATGATGTATAGTTGCTGTTAATGTTCATTTCTAGTTTGAGTATGTGTATGTTATTATATCTTTGAAATATTGTAACTCATGTGTAATGCTTGACAACACTGCTGCTGTGACAAAATAATTTCCAAATGTTTGATGAAGGAAGTATTTATATCTTTCTAAAAAGTTCAAATATAATGTTTGTTTTTCTCTCCAACACTTGTTGATTTATCTTGCGGTGGTTTTTACATTTTCAAAACACACTATTCTTATCGGTTTGTTTTTCTGTTTTTACCAGAGTGTGTCCTCTTTACACAAACAAAGAGATCTTTGTTTTTTTTGCTGATAACAGACAGAAAAGTGTATGGCGGCCGAAGAGCGTCAAGCGTGCCGTTAATATTCAATTAGGGAAAGAAAGCGTTTGACCCAGCCTGACCCCGGGGATAAAGCCTGCCGTAAAGCATCCAGACTGACAGCAGCTCCCGGGTGGTTTCACCACCTTCACCCGGGACAAGGACAACCATCCCCCCGGTTGGACGAGCCACATTTAGCGGGGAGAGCAACTGCAGGAGCCGGGAGAAGAGAGAGTGGTCAGAGCAGGGCGTAAATATCCAAACATTACGCTCAGTCAAAGACCACCAGTGGTGTAAAGTAACTAAGTACATTTATGTAAGTACAATTTTGTATTTCGATGTTTTGCTACTTTGTGCTTCTACTTCACTACAATGCAGAGGAAAAGGTTGTAGGCCTACTTTTATTCCACTACCTTAGTTTAATACCTTAAAGTTACCTTGCAGATGTTGTTTATTGAAGTGAAATATAATCAAGTCTTAAATCAGACTTTAGTTCCACCTGGAGTAAATTCACAAGCTACCTCGCATACAAAGTCCTTCAAACTAGCTGCACCTTTAATAACACTTTAATGCATCAATAATTATATTCAAAACATATCATGCATATTATTCTGAAATGGACCAATCTGCATAACGAGTCATTTTACTTTTGGTACTTTAAGTGTATTTTGATGCAAATACTTTGTACTTTTACTTGAGTAACCTTTTGAATGCAGGACTTCTACTTGTAACAGAGTAGCCTATCTCTGGATCTCTGGATCTGAGTACTCTCCCACCTCTGAAAAGCACAACATGACTAACCTCATGATGTTGGTGCTAAATTGCGCATTTAACGAGGAAGTGTGTTATGATCACAAACAAGAAGTCAGAGTTCAGGCTTTGAAGCCTCACGAGACACACTTTCCTTAAGGGTTGGTGACTGAGACAAAAACAAACATCAAAGCAGGAAATACACAGTCTGGTTATGTGTGCATCGAGGCCTGTGAGTATTGACAGGAAGACATTAGCCTCAGGGAATCATTTTGTGTTTGAATTTTCTTGAAAAATAGATTTTTATAAAGACAAATGTGTCCTTTAAGTACCATAAAATACAGGTTTATATAAGGCTCTCTCCCCATATAAAAAATACATAAATAAAACATTTTTTATCATGATCGTTTAAAAAATAAAAATAAATTAGGCTACTCATTTCGTTTTTTTGTGAAGACGAAAAACGGGCCTACAATAAATCTTAAAAAATTGCAAAAAACAGATGTGTAAGTATTATAATTACTGGACAGAAATCAGACATCCTAAATAAATAAATATAATAATATTAAATAACATTGGGATCTAGGATGTTTTTCTCCCTTCGTCTTGATTTGGGTGCTTATAAAATGTCATTTAGATACGGAAAAACATACACCACTTTAATCTTCAAAGCATCAATAAATATTGAATTATAAAATATTTTGAAAAACTTATAATAAAATGAATAAAATACAAACTAACCGAAGCTAGAAGAAATATAGTAAGAATACATTATAAGTGGCAGGTCACTGATAACAACTGCATAATTACAAGTTCCTTGTGTCTCATTGCGTGTTAAAAATAACAAGCTATTTGATTAATTATAAATATTTAATGTGTCTGCATGGTCACAGGGCAGCACTCTGAATAAAGAGGCTCTAATGTCTGGAGGTTGAGAGGTTTTATGTTTATAGTTTCCTCTCTGCGTGTCGTGAACAACGTCTACAAGAGTAAAGCGTACCATTTATTTGTTCTGTAGATGTTTCAATTTACCACAATTTCTTTAAAAATAAAGTTACATTTATTACGGGTCTATTAAAGCTTTTACCTCTGCGCATAAAACGGGTCAGTTACGTCGTCGCTCTCACATTAAACCGGTCCTGATATCACTGCTGCTCACTTTACAGACACATGTATTTGTCATAATGCAGCTGCAGTCACATATTTACTGCCTGCTGTGTGTGTGTGTGTGTGTGTGTGTGTGTGTGTGTGTGTGTGTGTGTGTGTGTGTGTGTGTGTCACATTTTTTTTTATACTCTGGCAGCTGCCAACAGGGGAAAAAAGCAGCAAAGGTAAATAAACCAAGCGAGGACACCGAGCTGCTCCCAGGTAAACACCCGGACGGAAAAATCACTGCGTGGGCCAGATCTCGTGTGTGTGTGTGTTTGTGTGTGTGTGTGTGTGTTTGTGTGTGTGAGAATTAAACAAGGGCTACGTATTTTCAATTAGAGAAAGTGTGATGGCAGGGAACAGAAAGTTGAAACTGAATAAGTAGAAGGACGTTGAGGGAGAAAAGCTATTTAAAAGTAAAAAGAAGACATCAAAGAAGCAAAAGAGGAAAGACAGCAGAAACAGTCAACATTTAAATTTAAAAAAGAGAATAATTTATTGTTAAGAGTTGAGAGCTTAAGAAACAAAAAGGGAGATGGAAATAATACCAAAGCAATTTGAGAAATAAGCTTGAAAAGAAAAAAAGGAGTTTTGTATTTGGTTCAAAAAGTTAAAAAAACAAAATTATTTTTTAAAAGCAATTGGGCATCTATAACACTAAAGACTTAATTTAGTTGTCAAATCGAATAATGAAAATATAATTAAGTCAATGTTTAGTAAGATTAAGCCAATTATATTATATAGCCCATGAGAAACAGAAATATAATTAAGTTAAGAAGTGAAAAAAAACATAAAAACAAATCAAAGACAATGTGCCACGATGAAGACGGGTGGATTAGATAAATGGTAAAGTATGGAATAAAGGAGTAGACTGAAGTGAAGCCATTGGAAATAGATTTAAAGCCATTGCTGTTAATAGTGTGTTCATTTTTGGGGCTTTGATGGTGTTTCGTCTCTTTAGTGGACAGCTCTAGCAGTGAAATAAATGCATCTCACTCACATCACCTGATTTGTGAACAGCTGAGGTGTCAAAGTGTTTATGTGTATAAACAGCCAAGTGTTAGATTGTGTTTATGGGTGCCAGTAGTGTAATGTAACTAAGATTTTTTTCTATTTTGAGGTACGGAGAATTTGTATTCCCTGCTACTCCTACTCAAATATTGGTATTTTTAATGCGCTAAGTTTTATTTGATAAACCTATTGAGTATGAAGTAGCTACAAATAGTTACTATCAAGCAAATACCACAAAGTACTAATTTTGAGTTACTATTTACCTCTGAAGTGTGTGTGTGTGTGTGTGTGTGTGTGTGTGTGTGTGTGTGTGTGTGTGTGTGTAAGGTTGTGTAATAGGCATCAGTTTGTGTCCACTTGCGTCAGTAGTCTCAATGAAATAACTATCAGAAACTGTTGAGCTGCAAATATATAAAACATGTGTTCTCTTATTTTCTTGTCAAAAAGATAAAACTGTAAAATAAGCAAACAACACTAATACAAATAATCCCAGTTAACTTCGACCACACACACACACACACACACACACACACA